TGTGTGTGTGTGTGTGTGTGTGTGTGTATTTATAAATGATTAGGAAGTTTAATTATGCACAATCCCTCAATGGCCCTCTTTGCCTGAGGCCCTTCAGAGTCTAGGATCGCCACTGCATTTAATTGACATTTTTATATTTATAACATGAATATAAAGTAAGGAAACGGACAGCTTCGCTAGTTACTGATTTAAAGATAGAGTAACATAAACTGCCATCCTCCTGCTCCAGGCCTTGTCTGAACGGTCAGGGTGAAAGCATTACACACTCCACTCACACAACACAACACACAGTACCTGCTGCTGTGAGATAATCACGCACTGCAAAAGTCCCAAAACACGAACGAAACGAAATAACTCACTGAGCCACGCGAGTGCGCGCGCGCACACTCACAGAAGTCCTGAGTTTCTCTTGGTAGAGCTGTCGTCATGTATGAAGAGACCCAAAACGAACACTGTAAGCGGCCAACTTAATCATTATAAGCCAGTTAATTCATTATGCCCCAAGCTTTTCGATCATTATGAGCTGTTTCCACTCTGTTTCTCTGCTCAGTCTTCAGATAACCCGGACGATGAGTGTGAAACTATTTCACAAGGCAGGACGGAACTGCAGAGAAACAAACTCAAACCCGCCTCCCGCTTTAAACAGGAAGCAGGAAGAAGTGTGTAGAAGTCAGCGCCTGGTGCTGCTCTCGTTAATGAACCTCATAAAGAAATTAAGAAAGACAACTGGGGTGCGTATGTATGCGTGTATACAGTATATGATTATATATACTGAGAGTTCATGGGTGTTTATTGATACTATTTGTAGCTAAAAGTATTGAACCTGAGCGCTGACTGGACTAATACGAGTGAATCTGTGAAAACGAAACTACAGTTGGCCGAGGGAGAGTCCACACGAGAAAACCGACAGAAAGAAACACAGAGAACCACAGCAGAAAACGACAGAATGGCTGCTAACATATCACAGTCTGAGGCGGATTTCACCTGCCCTGTGTGCTGTGATATATTTAAGGATCCCGTCCTCTTGTTGTGCGGTCACAGCTTCTGTAAGCACTGTCTTCAGGAGTGGTGGAGGCAAAGTAGACTCCAAGCATGCCCAGTGTGCAAGGAAATATTTCCAATGGCTCAGCCCCCACGTAATCTGGCTCTAAGAAACCTGTCTGACAGCATGAGACTACAGAGGAGCAAGAGAGAGACGTCAGGATCTCAGGGGCTTTGCAAGCTGCACAGTGAGAAACTCAAACTCTTCTGTCAGGATGATCAGCAGCTCATCTGTGTGATTTGTAGGGATGCACAAAAACATAAGAAACACAACTGCGTCCCCATCAATGAAGCAGCAGAAGAACATAAGGTGAGCAGAATAGTTTAATAAAGCAACTGAGAGAGGTTTTGGGTTTAGTACTTTTCAAAATTTTAGAAATAATTCTTTATAGCAAACAAAAGTGTTGTTTAACTGATCTGCTGTGTAACTGTACCTTTTATTTGCAGACCAACCTCAAAGTTGGGCTGATGCATTTAAAAAGCAAACTGGGGTCATTTAAAACACAAAAACTCAACTGTGATAAAATGGCCAGCCACATCAAGGTAAGTCACAAACATAGAGTTCATAGAGGCAGTTGGCAGCGTATGGTGTCGCCTGCTTTCATCACAAAGGTGTTTCTCCTCAGCTCCAGGCTCAGCGGACGGAGAAGACAATCAAAGAGGAGTTTCAGAAGCTGTACCAGTTCCTGAGAGCAGAGGAGGCTGCCAGGATAGATGCAGTGAGGAAGGAGGCAACACACAAGAGCGAGGCAATCAACATCAGGACTTCTGAATCTGAATGCAGAGATCTCCTCGCTCACAGATAAAATCCAAAAAATAGAGGAAGAAATGAGAGCTGATGACTTCTCATTCATGATGGTAATCAGTAGTCATCTGTATTAATTAATAATCTGATCTTGATATTGATATTTAACAAAAATGTATGTATTGATTTGTCATTTTGTTTTCTCTTTATTTGGCAGAATGTCAAAACCACTAGAAAGCGGTAAGTTGTCCTTTGTACACTGTCAAAGTACAGCAGACTTCAGCATTGTATTACAGTCCTGGATTGTTTGGATTGGTGGTGGGGAAGTAGTAGTTTACCTGACACACATTTGCCAAACAAATTAGTCTTTTTTTTGGTAAAAGTAAAATATACAGTTTGAAGACTCTTCCAATAAATTGTGAATCTCATCTTGCAAATATCAATGTCATTTCCAACAAAGTAAAATGTCATAAACTTATTTTACCTACTCATTTCCTGCTCAAGTTAGAGTTGCAAATGCAACAAAACAATTTGGGCTATTTATTTATAAACTGCGGAAGGCTATACCTATCCTCTTTATAACATTGGGACTGGCTATTCTGCTCCTCCAGATTAATGTTAACATTTGCCACAAGTATGTGCATGCACAGATTTCACATAATTAGTGTGCAGCTCTTGTCTTCCTGTCTATATCCAATATGTTCATGCTTTGTTTCCCATGAATCCCTTATGCATGTGCAGGCTATTTGAATCCAGAGTGGGAAGGATAGTGTCTGTCACTGACAAGCTCAAGTACCGTATAGAGAGCAAACTAATGAGTGTAAATTCATTTAATGACTATAGAAAAATAAATGCCAGCCACAAATAGCAGAGAAAATTGGATTTGTAGGTATTTAACAAAAACTCTACCAATGTGGGATGTTTGATCATGTTTGAGTGGTAATGTCTAATATGCCTAATATTCAGATCCCAGTGCAACCTGCCAATACCAGAGACTCCATCAGGAGCCCTGATCGATGAGGCCAAACATGTAGGGAACCTGCTGTTCACAGTCTGGAAGAAGATGAAGAGTATAATCCAATACAGTAAGATATGTATTATGTTGTTTCTTATTGTGTTTCAGGCTGTTCTGTGAATACACTGTAATGCCCTCAGTAAAACCTTTTACTTTAATAAACATCTCTGTAAACTTTCCCTTTCCCTTTTTTCTCTGAAGCTTCTGTAATTCTGGACCCCAACACTGGCTACTCTTCTCTGACCACATCGGAGCACTTGACCCGTTCAACAGTTAGAGACAAGCGTCAGCCACTACCTGAAAATCCTGAAAGGCTGCGCAGCATAGACATTCTTGGATCTGAAAGCTTTAGCTCTGGGAAACACAGCTGGGATGTGGAGCTGGGGGGTTATTGGTATGTTGGTGTGGCTGCTAGAACCAAGGACCAAACTTCCAATAAGATCTGGGGCATCTACATGTGTGTTTGCACAAACATTATTCGTGAACTTACTCCACAGGACTATGTGAAAAGCGTATCTGAAGATTTGTTTCCCCAAAAGGTCAGAGTGCAGCTAGACTATGACCAAGGAATACTATCATTTTTTGACCTTGATAGGAAAACACCTGTTCACACCATCAAACACACTTTCACAGAACCAGTTTTTCCATATTTTCGTGAAAATGCCAAAATCCTTCCATCTGAATTGTCAGTGAGGATAAGACAACTGAGATAAACATTCTGCATTACTGCAGAGGTCAAACAACCAGATGAGCCCTTGAAATGGTGTTTACTTGTTGCCACATTATTAAGTACTACAATCTTTGTCAAAAAAATGTGAATTTCTTTTGACTTCCTTGATTTGTTTATGTTTCTCAGATTTCAGTATAATATTTTATATACATTTTGAGGTATCTATCTGTAACTTTGTTTGGCCAATGATTTGTTAATGTTTGGAGTAAGTGTTGTCATCACGCAGGCTTTCCCTGTTGTCTATTTGGTTTAGTCTGCCTTAAAGGGGCACACCACGCATTTTTACACATCCAGTTCAGTTTACTTGTCACACAGTCATTAGGGTGACCTCACCTTAGGTATGAAACTTTAACAAACTTGAAGTCTAGTATTTGAAAAAAACAAACATTAAGGAGGCAGGGGAATGTAATGAAATAGAATACTGGGTTGCATTATGGGAATTGTAGGATCCAGTGTCTGTAGGTTGGCTAGGGACTAAGAGTCAGAACATCTCGCCATCTGCTGCTTCAATTTTGACCATTCTTTTTTAAAAACCTCTCTCTTGTAAGTTCCCCAACTCTATGGAAGTATGATCCGTGGAGTCGCTGTGTAACATAATTCACGGCATGTTTTTAATAGATGGATGATTTACAGGTTGGCAGAGATATATATCTGGAATCTGTTTGAGGTTTCAAAGTCTTATCTGGCTTGAATTTATCCTATGTATCAACTGTTAAGATTTAATTGTATATATTAGTTGTTGTCTTAAGGATAGTGAAATGAAACTTTCAATATATCATGTAAATATTTAATCATCAGATTAATAACAGGGTTAAAAAAAAGTCCTGTTTTTTATTTTTATTTTGTTTTTTCCTATCCTGTTTTTTTTTTTTTTTACCTTTGAGGCTATTTTTTGTGTTTGGGCTTAATAAATCAAAGTGACTTAACCTGCACAACTGTCAATATTGGTTGAAAAAAACAGATTACAATTAAAGAAAACTGTTAAAAACACTACTGTTAATATACCGAATACCACCACATTTAACATGAACCTTGAAAACATAATTAAGCTCAAAACAAACTAATAAATAAATATGCAACTCTGAGCCAGTGTGAATTTCTTCACTGGAAATCTCCAGTATTCCCATAATGCCCCAGTGTGGCT